TGTGTGTGTGTGTGTGTGTGTGTGTGTGTGTGTGTGTGTGTGTGTGTATAGAGCTCAGGATTGAACCTCCATCTCCTACAATTTTTCCAGGGATGCTCCTCCAGGGAATGGGGGAGGGCACCCCTAACATAATTCCCTTCCCTCCAGTGCAATAAGGGAGAGATCTGGGAGGGGGTACAACAGCTGTCAATGTTGGGTCCTTGCCCAGGGGCCAGGGCAGAGCCAACACTGCCTCCTATGTCTTTGCTAATTGGTAATTGGCCCCTCCTAGCAGAATGGAAACTGGTAATTGGTAATTGGCCCCTCCTGGCAGAATAAAAACAGGGTAGGCATGTGGGTGGCACAGATTGGCACCAGGCCAGCAGACCCATTGAGCTTCAGAAAGCTGGGATATCTGTGGGCGGGTGTCATGGGCTGGCACGTGGAAAATCTGGGGACATCACAGGGTGTCCTAACGGGACTGTGAGAGCCATTTCTGGGAGATGGTGGGAAGAGGGAGGGAGGAGAAGAGATAACTGGGAAATCGTCCAAAATAAGCCAGAAGTCTGAGGATGAGAAAGGAGGAGGCAGATAAAAATTTTTCTTGGTAGAATCTTGAACTAGAAGTCAGGATCCCTGAGTTTTTAGTCTTAGCTCTGCCACTAATCTCATATGACCGTGTCACTGCCCATGTGGCCTTGGACAAATAATTTCCTGTCTCTGGACCTGAGTTCTCTCCTCTGTCAAATAAAAGTGCCATATTCAACTCCCTCTAAGGTCCTTCCAGGCCATTAATTCACTACATCAACAGGCATTTATTAAGCTTGTGGGCAATACTCTATGCTAAGCACTGGAGACATAAAGGTAGATGGGACACACAACCTTGCTCATAAGAGGCTTACAATCTAGTCATGGAAAAAAATCCTACTGAGATAGCTATGTTATACTAGAGAGTGAGAAAATACAAAGCAGGGCATGGTATGTAGGAAGACACTGGGATTTGGAGAAACAGGGTCTGGCTTGAATCCCTTCTCTGTGACCTTGGTGGGCCCAAGGTCATCTGTAAAATGAAAGTATCAAATTCCACAAACACTTAATGAGTCCCCTCAGCATGCTAGGGGCTAGAGATACAAATGCAAAACCAAAATAGTTTCTCATCTCAAGGAGCTTATATTCTACTGGGCAGGCTGGAAGAAGATACAGCATGGTCCCAGATAAGGAAATAAAAGGTCATTTGAAGCCAGTGAAAGAACTAAAAATCGGAGAGATCCAAGAAAGGCTTTTCAAAGGAGGTATTATTGAAATGGAATCCTGAAGGAAGAAAAGGATTCTGAGAAACGGTGAGGAGGGCACTATTGAGTTCCAGCCATCTATGGGAGAACAACCAATTCAAAGGCACAGAGTCAGGGATGAGACATTGAATGCCAGCCAGATTGGGAGAGGAGCTACTATTCCAATTGGGCTAGAACACAGTGTCCATGAAGGGGAGGAACACAAAGGAAATCTGGAAAGGTAGTTTGGAGCCAGACTGTGGAGTCTGGTTTAATAAAGGCTATAATATAATATCATACCGTATCTTGTCATATGTAATATAATAATAAATATAATAAAAGCTTAATAAATGTCTGTAGATGTAGTGAATGAATCAACTGGAAGGGAGCTTTGAGGAAGTTGTATTTTATTCAAGAGCCAATGAGGAACAACTGAAGATTTTTGAGTGGGGAGTGATTTGGTTATACCCAAGACTGTAGGTTATTTTGGCCCCTGCATGAAGGATAGACCAAAGAAGGAAGAAACTGGAAGCAGGGGGGTTAATTAGAAAACTATTAAGGTAGTCTAGGTGAGAGGTGGTGTAGACTTCCAAGAGATGGAAGATGTAGTGAAGATAGAACCCAGGTGTGCTGGTAAATGTTTAACAATTGGCTTCCCATGCCCCCCACCCAAAATGTTCTTGTGACACACTTTCAAGTTTAATCATCATTGCTAACACTTTCTTCATCACTTCCTAGACAATCAAGAAAAAAAAAATCAAGTGCTGATTTGTAGGATTTGCCAATTTCTGAGATATAAATAAATGCTCACACCAAAAAACAGCTCTCTGAGCATAGGAATAAATGGAGTCTTCCTTAAAATAATAAGTAGCATCTACCTAAAACCTTCAGCAAGCATCATATGTAATGGGGACAAGCTAGGAGCATTTCCAATAAAATCAGGGATAAAACAAGGATGTCTATTATCACCACTATTGTTCAGTATGGTACTGGAAGTGTTTGCTTTAGCAATTAAGAGAAGAAAAAGAAATTGAAGGTATTAGAATAGGCAAAGAAGAAACAAAGCTATCACTGTTTGCAGATGAAATGATGATATACTTAGAGAATCCTAGAGAATCAAGTAAAAAACTACTTGAAATAATAAATAACTTTAGCAAAGTTGCAGGCTATAAAAAAAACCCACATAAATCATCAGCATTTCTATATATTACCAACAAAGCCCAACAGCAAGAGATAGAAAGAGAAATTCCATTTAAAGTTACTGTAGACATCATAAAATATTTAGGAGTCTACCTGCCAAAACAAACCCAGGAACTATATGAATACAATTACAAAACACATTTCACATGAATGAAGTCACATCTAAATAATTGGAAAAATATCAGTTGCTCATGGGTAGGCTGAGACAATATAATAAAAATGATAATTCTACCTAAACTAATTTACTTATTCAGTGCCATATCAATCAAACTACCAAAAACTTATTTTACAGAGCTAGAAAAAAATAATAACAAGATTCATTTAGAAGAACAAAAGGTCTCAAATATGAAGGTAACTAATGAAAAGAAATGCAGAGGAAGGTGGCCTAGCCATTCCAGATCTTAAGTTGTATTATAAAGCAGCAATCATCAAAACTACTTGGTACTGGTTAAGAAATAGACTGGTGGATCAGTGGAATAGGTTAGGTATGTAAGAAACAGTAGTCAATGACAATAGTAATCTACTATCTGATAAACCCAAAGACCCCAGCTTCTGGGATAAGAACTCACTATTTGACAAAAACTTCTGGGAAAACTGGAAAAGAGTATGGCAGAAACTAGGCGTAGACCAAAATCTCACACTATATACCAAAATAAAGTCAAAATGGGTTCATGAGTTAGATGTAAAGGCTGATACTATAAGCAAACTGGGAGAGCAAGGAATAGTTTATCTATCAGATTTATGGAGAACAGAAGAATTTGTGACCAAACAGGAGATAGAAAGCATTACAAAATGCAAAATGGATAATTTTGATTACATTAAATTGAAGTTTTTGCATGAACAAAGCCAATGCTGCCAAGATTAGAAGGAAAGTAGAAAGTTGGGAAAGAATTTTTACAACCAGTGATAAGGGCCTCATTTCTAAAATATATAGAGAGCTAAGTCAAATTTATAAGAATACAAGTCATTCCCCAATTGATAAATGGTCAAAAGATATGAACAGGCAGTTCTCAGATGAAGAAATTAAAGCCAACTATAGTCTTATGAAAAAATGCTCTAAATCACTATTGATTAGAGAAATGCAAATCAAAACAACTCTGAGGTACCACATCACACCTATCAGATTGGCCAACATGACAAAACAGGAAAATGATGAATTTTGGAGAAGATGTGGGAAAATTGGATTGTTGGAGGAATTGTGAAATGATCCAACCATTTTGGAGAGCAATTTGGAACAATGCCCAAAGGGCTATAAAAATGTGCATACCCTTTGACCCAGCAATAGTACTTCTAGGACTATATCCCAAAAAGATCATACAAATGGGAAAAGGACCCACATGTACAAAAATATTTATAGCAGCTCTTTCTGTGGTGGCAAAGAATTGGAAATTGAGGGGATGCCCATCAATTGGGGAATGGCTGAACAAGTTGTGGTATATGAATGTAATGGAATGCTATTGTGCTACAAGAAATGAGCAGGTAGACTTCAGAAAAACCTGGAAAGACTTGTATGGGCTAATGCTAAATGAAATGAGCAGAACCAGGAGAATTTTATACACAGCCATGTTGTGTAATGACTGACTTTGATAGACTTAGCCCTTCTCAGCAATGCAAAGATCTAAGACATCTCCTAAGGTCTCATGATAGAAAATGCTATCCATATCCAAAGAAAGAACTATGGAGTTTGAATGCAAATCAAAGCATACTATTTGCTATTTTTTCTTCTGTCTTGTTTTGCTTCCTCTTTCTTGTGGTTCCTCCTATTGGTTCTAATTCTTCCTTACAACATGACTAATGTGAAAATACATTTAATAGGAACATATATAGTATATCAGATTGTGTGTGATTTTGGGGAGGGGGGAAGAAAAATTTAAAACTCAAAAGCTTATGGAAGTGATTGTTGATAAATCAAAATAAATTAATAAAAAATATTAAAAAAAAAAAAAAAAGCTCTCTGGAGCCAGAACAAGCTGCCTCCAGCACAACCTTGGATCGAATCAACAAGAATGGGCAACCAATAAAGTAGATGAGGGGGGAGGGGCAGCTAAAAGTTGAGGTCTGGTAATATTGAAGTAGGGATAGAAAAAGATGGCATGGGATTCAAGGACAGGGGCAGTGATCCTTGGTCAATGACAGAGTTGAGACTATGAAGGAAGGAAAGTAAGATCAGAGCAAGAATGACAGGGACAGGGAGAGGATGGCAAGATAGAGAGACTAGTAGTAGCTGTGAAGACAAAGAATAGGTGTGCGAAGAGTGAGGGGAAAAGAGAAGGACAGGAGAGGAATTTCAGAGTCTGGCATCATGGAGGTACCACAGTTTAGGGTGATGATGAGATCTAAGTCATGATCATTATCACCTGGATTGTGGAGATGACCCTTGCACTCCTCCTCTACCTCCCCTCCCACCTCCTCTCCCATACCTGAGACTATGAGATGTGTTCCATTGCCTTCAGCTCTCTTAAGCATTGGAATGTCCACTGTCACATAACACACATAGTGCCCACTGTCATTAGCATTCACATCATCCAGACTCAGGATGATGGTATTTTCCGGGATCCAGATCAACTTTTCTTTGGACTCCCATGTAACTTGACTGGAGTTCCAACTGATGGGTGTAGACCGGCACAGTTCCTTGCCATCCTTCTTCCACTTTACTCGGAATTGCTGCCCTTTGGCCAGGGTGACATTGCATGCCATGTTCACTTTGCCGCCCGGGCCCACCTCCAGGACTTGTGGCTCCTGCTGCACCATCAGATCAGTCCCTCCTGTCAGGGTTGATGCTGGGGGGACAAGCAGGAGAAGAGGAAAAGGAAGCAGCACAGTAAGGCTCAATTCTTCTAGACAGTCTTCTCTGACCACAGAATCTGAAAGACCCAAGGGACTTCAGAAACCTTATAGAGGCAGAGCTGGGACTAGAACCCAGGTCTCCTGACTTCTAGTCCTGGGCATTAGCACTTTCTTTAATCCTTAGTCTCTCCCACCATCCTCCATTCTAAGGTCCTTATCAGATCTGACACTATGTTCAAAATTTCTCCAGCTCCTACTGTTCCCATCCAGCTTTTCTTTCTTTTTCTGCTTTGGACATTCTGTTTTCTATGTTCCAAGAGTCTTTCCAGCACTAATGGTCTATGTTTTATAGTTCAGGGGTTTCTTCATCCCTGCTAAGAGTCTGAAACATTGTTCCCATAAATTCAAACAGTGGACAGTTAGCTAGGAACTTGGTACCCTCCTCACAGATAAAATTTAGAGGAAGAGCAGGAGAAAGGAAGGCTCCTTCAAGACTCTTTGAGATCCCCACGGTCTGAGAGGACAAGAGCCTCAACTATCGGGCGACACTGAAGGGTCCTGGTCTCTTGGGTGACATAGGGAGACTGAGGCATAAGTGAGCCTCCTAGCAGGTAGAGACGTTGGACTTGGGTACTTACCCCCAGACAGCATCAGGAGGAAAAGGTCCATAAGGGGATATCCCATCACTTCTTCCTCTCAGGCTCCTTCCTACCTTCAATCAGCTCCACTCTCTCTTTCTGCCTATAGAGGCCAATGTAGATAGCTTGGGGTAGCTCTATTCCTCCCCCCTCTTCATCTCTTTTAACCCATATGTTCTCTAGATAGGACCAATCTGACAGATACCATTTCCTGCCACAGTATCCGCCCCTCCCTCTCTGAAGAACATTGGAATCAATTGCATGATGAGATATTGGCAAAGGACTGCCCAGCATGACATGACCACATCAAAGAAAGCAGTGTATTGTATGAGTGAAGCAGAATTGTAGTAGCTCAAAAGAAACACGAGATGTGCAAATTTAGGGACATCTCTACTCCAAATGCTCATGTGGACTATTGGTGCCTGAGCTGTGGTACAGCCTTCCACGCTCACATTGGTCTGATCAGCCACAGTTGGATACACTGTACCGTGACCCCAACATACTGATGTCACTTTGATCCTCTTTGAGAATGAAGGACAACCAACCAACTGATGTGAGTGGTTTGCCATTTCTTTCTCCAAATCATTTTTCCTGATGAAGAAACTGAGGCAAACAGAGTTAATTGACTTTTCCAGGGTCATACAGATGGTCAGTGTCTGAGGCTGGATTTGAACTCAGGTCCACCTGACTCTAGGCTTGGTGCTAATTCAGTCTACCACTCTGTGAAGGAATCCCCTCTACAGGCATCCTGAATGGGGTGGGAGGGAAAATCATTCAGTCTCTGTTTGGACATATCCAGGAACAGGTTGCTCACTGCCACCAAAGCAGCCTTTTCTACTATGGGACTGTCCTGATGGTTAAAAAAATTCTTTCAACTGAAATCTGAAAAATGTCTTTCCATTGCTATTAGCAAGACAGGTACAGATACACCATAGGTAGCTGGAGAAGGTTCATAAGCACTTTGTAGAATCACAGGCTCTGAGGGCAGGAATCACATCTACAACATAATAGTAAATGACATGCTTGTAAATCACTTTCCATACATTTTCTCTTTTGATCCCACATGACCACATTGCTTTCAGATTTGTTTGAGCCTCTCCATCATGTCTTCCTTTCCCAGGAAACTCATTATTGGGAAATCACATTAAATTGCAAGGTTGAATCTGCCTGAGGCTCCCATCTCATCAGGGCCCTCCGGCCCTGACTGGACCCTCTGACTGGAGGGCAGGGCCCTCTATTTAAAAAGGAGGCTTGACACAGTTTTTCTCCCTATTTCCCAACATTGAACTGCTTTACATCATACCCTTGGCCCAAGTTCTTCCTTCCCTTCCCTCCCTCAGCTTTCAGCTTCCCTTTTGTGTCTTGTCTTTCCCTGTTAGATTATAAATTCCTTGAGAACAAGGATTCTTTGCATTTTTATTCCCAGTGCTTAGCCCAGTGCCTGGCACATAGTAGGGGCTTCATAAATGTTTATTGACTAACTGGGCCTCACAACAACTCCAAGGGGGGAGGGTTGGGCGGGGTACCTATTACCAGTATAATTATCTCTATCTTACAACTGGGGAAGCTGAAATCTGAGAGGTTAAAGTGGTTTAAAAGTCATAATCAGAATGCTTGCTCATAAAGGTCAGTCAGCCAATCAAAAGCATATATTAAGCCCCTACTAGATTCCAGGCACTGTGCTAAGTGCTGGAGATGCAAAGAAAGGTCCGTTCCCGCCCACCCGCCCCCCGCAAAAAAAAAGTTTCTGCTCTTAAGGAACTCAGTCTAATGTATAGCTAACATTAAAACTTAAGTTTTAAACTTAAAACTGCACTAAGACTTTTATGACACCCTATATAAGTCTTTTAAGATGTGCAACCCCCTTTTGGTTTCTCATTTGATCCTCACCACAGGTCTTCCTGACTCCGAGTCAGCCCAGCAGTATGAGTTTAACAATAGACTATGAGACCCTGTAACCAGCAGTGGTGGGGAAGATTTCCGGGCAGAGAGCTACCATGCTCAGTCCCAGCTTCACAAGCATCAACCACAGGCAGAGATCACTCTGCTTACAAGCAGCAGCAGCAGCTGCAGTGAGATCTGTCTCCTGAGAGGCTTCAAAGAACAGGTGGTCCTCCTCCAAACCAGGATTTCAAAGAGGCCTTAAAACCCAGCTGGGAAGGGCTCTGCCTGAGAAAACAGCTTTCATGTTACAGATGAGGCACCTGAAATCCAAAGAGGAAAAGCAACTTGCCTATTAGTGGCTGAGTTGGAATTCAAAGCCAAGCCTCCTGATTCCAAATCCAGTTCTCACTTCATTCTACTCCAGACCAAGGACTCCATACCCTCTGGCCTTAAAGTCCCCTTTACCCCACAGTCCATCTTCCCCTAGCCCTGTTCCTCTGGGAATTCAGAGTCTCAGTCCTGGAAGGAACCTCAGAGATCGGCTAACCCTGGAGCTCTTAATTTTTTTGTGTTCTATAGCTATTTGGTAGTATAGTGAAGCCTATGGATCCCTTCTCAGAATCGTGTTTTTAAATGCGTAAGATAAAATACAGAGGATTACCAAGGAAACCAATTATCTTGAAACATAATTATTAACATAGTTTAAAAAAAAAAGTTCATGGGCCCCAGGTTAAGAATTCCCTCATATTATGAATGGGAAAATAAGATTCAAAGATAAGAAATCACCCGCCAAGATTCCACAAGCAGTAAGTAGCAGAGATTTGTCAGCACAAAACAAATGATCAAAGTCACAGGTTATGCAATGCTACTCTGAAAATACCGAAGAGCTCACACAGATTATCACAACCACAGTTAACTCTGAAAAATAAAACAAAATAAAACCAAACAACTAACAGTAGTCACAAGCCAAAAGCTTTCTTTATTCAGTTGGAGAAGGGGAGCTAGACTCATTCGGCAGGGAGCCTTCTCTAATAAGAGACCCACTTTAGTGCGGGCAAACCTCGATATATATGCTAGTGGCTATGCAGTGAGCTGTAGTCCTCACCATGAGGGGTAACAACTATGAGACAAGTTTGATTCTTAGCCCGGCTTCATGACCAAAACATCGGTACTACAGGTGCCTGTCTGAGCTCAGAGACTACCTGATACTGGGGTGAAACAATTCTAGGATTTTGCTTCAGTCAGGTTCATCCACGAGGTAAGCAACAAAGGATTGCTGTTATGCCAAACTCAGGGCAGAGCTTGCTTGCTGGGCCTGAGCTCTGGAAAACAGGGTCTCTCCTAATAGTAAAAAGAGAGGAGTAAAAATAGAGGGGTGGTCTTGGCATGGGGATTGTTGGACAGGCAAATACATCGACTATGCTATTTCTTAGGAAACAGACATAGGAGGGCTTCTGGCACCTCTCTCACTAGCAAGTTTGTTTTTTATCTGATCAGATGGGAAGACAGGGATGGAGTCATAATAAGGGGTTAAATAAGTTTACTTTATTCTAGTCTAGTCTTACTCAAAGGGAGTTTGCTGATGATGGGAGCTCCAACTCCTACAGCATTTCCTAACAACCCTTCTCACAGGGGTCGACATGAAGGAGGGGCAACTACCCCTCATCTCCACGGGGTCAATTGAGACCAGCACAACTTGTGCACTCCCCTAAATCCCCTCAAGCCTAAATGGGGGCCAGTTGAGGCAAACACACAGATTCCCCCTCCCAAGCCTTGATGGGGGCTGATCAAGGCACATACACACACACACACACACACACACACACACACACACACA